ATAATATTCAATTAGTATTTTATTAAAAATTTAGAATTTGTAAGTCAAAAATTAATTTTTATTTTTATATTAAATTATAATATTAAATTTTTTTCAAACTTAATACATAAATAATTTTTTTTTTGAACTCCGCCATTTACAAAGAAGATGTGTCTTACAAGTTGCCCGATAATAATCGCCTAATGGCCTAACTAACTAGTTTTACATGGTTTACAGGTAATATGTTACTATGCATGCACGTACCGGTACACAGTAAACACTAAATCAAAATAAATTGAATACATTTAAATACCTAATTTATATGATATTATGTTATATTATAATCATATCCATAGTTTAACAAAATATTTATAACTTTCACAAATTTCTTATTTTGAGTCACATATAATTGGGAAATTATAAAAATGTTTTTATTATTTAATTTTTTTTTTTTTTTATTGATCTTAAGATTAGATAGGAAATTTAAAAAAATATATCGTCCATATATATTGTTGATTATTACTTTTAAGGGATCTCCGAGCTCCCGAATATTAAACATAAAAAACCTAGAGTTAATAAAATTAAAGTTGGACACTTAGTTAAAGTAGTCTGAATTCTTGTGGTCTTAGTGTTTAATGTACTCAAACAAGAAATACTTTGAATACATTTTATCAAGAGTTGTAAAGACTAATAGGCAACCGTGTTACAGAAATTAAAAATCCAAATTCACAAATTACCTACTTAAAACAATAAATAATAGTACAAATATGCAATAACCGAATTTCCATATTTAGTATGAACTTAACCTTTTAAAGTGCAATTGTATATAATATTTATCTGAATACAACAAAATATAATTGTTTTTCAATCACTTCTAAGCGGCTGAGTGAATACACTTTTAATTAAATATCAAACATTTTACGTATAAATAGATACAAAAATAAAATTACGTTTAAGCATTTAAACTTATTGAAATAATTATAATGCCTATTTTATGAAGAGAAAATTATAAAGCAGCCTATTTAAACAATATTATAAAAATATTTACACAGGAGTAATCAAATTTAATTTAGTCCACACATATAAGTAGGTACATTAATTCTACTAATAATATAATAAAGTATCTCTTAAAATATAGTTTAAAATAATTTATTTAAATTATATACTCACATGTTTAATATAATATTGATCCTCAGAATGGCTTTCAAATAAAAAATTTGATTTTTTGGAAATCAACAAGTGTTATGTAATATATGTATAATTATAGCCTTCTAATATTGTATTTCTACTTTCTACTTCTGCAGATGCATGTACCAGGTACCTACATACAATATATACTCAATAAAAAATTATACTATTGATATTTTTAAGGCTGATGTCTTGTAAAATTTAAAAGTAAGATTATTATTTCAATGACCTAATTAGTTGTTTATTGTGTTTTAATTTTGAAGCGAGTTCAACGTATTTTAAAATTGTAAATTGTTTGAACATCTTAAAATACTATTAACTCGCTTCAAAATTAAAATATAATAAAAAGCTCATGAGGTCGTCTAAATAACAATATTAACTTTAAATTTTATAAAAAGTCGATCCACTCTAATTTTAAAACAAACGGAGCTAAACGTGATCTGCTGAGCGTACAATTTGCTATGTTGCTCACTTGTAAGTCGGAGACAACACATACGGGTATGACGTCCTTTAAATACAAAGTTAGAACTTGTTGAAACAAGTCAGTAAATGTAAATCACAATTTAAATTGAATTTTCTGTACACAACTTGATTTTCAATAACTAGAACTTTAAAGTTTTAAGACTTTTTCTGTTTAGATTCATCCAGATAAAATAAAAAACAACACATAAACCTACATAGAAACCAAGTTTAAAATTAACCATATGCTTAATTTAAAATGTAAGTACTTTTTTAATACTTTTTGGTACTGTTTTCAAGGAAAAATAAATACAATTCTACCAATATCGTTATTAAAATAACCAACCTATCAAATACAGTGATTTAGATATTACAATTGGTTATGCCACATAAATTACTGAAAATAAATTGATGCACTGAATTTATAATTACCCACTTGAAAAAAAATGTATCATTTTTCAAATTGAATTAAATTAAATAAATATTATAGCATTAAATGTTAAAGGAGAAGCGTCTTCTGAACTAAGTTCCTAAAACATACCGACCGAAAGTTCCTAGATCATAAACAAGGTTCAAGACACCGTTTTTTTCTTATAGCTCGTAAAAAATAATAAATAATATTAATATGTATAATTATTATAAATTATAGTAAAACTGTAATTATAACAAGGGGGCAGTCGCCGGCCAATCCACGAAATACTGATATTGCAGCTGATGTATTATTATTTTTAATTTGAACGTCAGAGTTAAAACATTTAAAAATGACTAAAAATTACATCAATATTTTGTTAAAAAAATCTTACTCGTCTATACATATGTGTCATATCTTTTTACGAATTAATAAGAAATTCAAAAAATCACCTATAAAAAATAATCTTTATTTTGAGGATACAAACTATATAATAACTCAATATATTTGTTCTTATAAAATACAAATTTGTGTACTTCGGTAGTAAAAAATCTTTGACACTATTGATTTAATAGACTATCGAATTACATTACGAAGAAAACTTACTTTCTAGATTATTTTCTGTATTGAAACTCTATCTATGAAGTATCACTATAATGTGAGACATAAACTAAAAGTATCAAATACTACAAAAAAAGTCATAAGACATATGAGCCGAACGTATGTAAAAGAAAATATAATATGAAACGCACAAAATCTAGTATTCGACTAAAATATAAATTACAGTTGTTCAATAACTAAACACTGCAGACATAAGAGATTGCTTTTGAACTGTCGTAATAAAAAACTATTTTCTTTTAAATTGTTTTAAAGAACCTTTGCAATTTATATTAAACTTAATTTGTATAGAACAATTTTAATCAAACACAGTTTTATAAGATACATTTACATTTTCATTAATCAAGTGGGTTAAAAAAAAATCGAAGTATTTAAAAAAATTAATACACTATTTTAATGATTTGAGCATATACTCGTAGATAATTCCTTTTAACTGATACATATAGACTTCAAACAACTTAGTCATCTTTAATAACAACAAAAGTAATAATGGTACTATCAGTCAAGATGCAGTACTTAAAATTGTAGATAATATTATAAATGAAAGATAACCATAGCATCAAAATAACTTTAGAAGACATTTAATGAGTTGAAATTAAAAATAGAAAAAGAAATAAGAATGCTTAAAAACATTTTAACTTTTTAACAATTTATTTTAATCTTAAACGTTGCAGCATTATTATGTATGAACAGTTTATATTCAATAATACATATAATTAAAAAATGTATATAACTTTTTAACTATTATGCGATGTTTTATTCAATAAAAGAGCATTCATGAGTTAAATATTTTAGCACCAGAGTATATTAAATATAAAACAAAAAAAAAATAATAAAACTTAGGGTGTTAAACCTATGACACAAAAATCGTTATGCACAATGCAATAATGAAAACAAAGTGATATAAAACTATAAAATCAATTTTTTTTAATAAAATAACTAGTTGTATATCCATAAACATTTATTTGATCAAATACTGTTTTTGAAATAGAAAATAAAATGTTTAAAATACATAATATACTATATTATATTATATATTATGTTTATAAAATAACGATGTCTAGCAATTGCCTAAAATAAAAATAATAAATAAAAATTAGTTTTTTGCTCACATTATTGCTCACACAAACATCTTAATGCGCACGTTAATATTGCATGTAAATGGACCGTGTGACGTTTGATAAATCTCGCTAATTAATACTATGATATTATATTAGACACAGTTATTCTAACAATTATTTTTGAGGCTACACATTTTTATGTTTAAAATTAACTAATAAAGGTACTATACGGTATACATACATGTATAGTGGCATGATACTCTCCATTTTAATTAATTCTTCAAAGTAAATTAAAACCCTTAACAAACAAAGCAAAAAAGAGAGTTGAAATAATTTCATAGAAAATGAAAATCTACATTACGCACCAAAATCACAAATGTATATCTACAGGATGCAATAATACAATAATTACGTGTTAACCTGTGAAATATATACATACTACCATGTTAAGAAAAAATAAAATAAAATGTAACTTGTATCTGTTTAAAGAATAATGTGATGTTTAAACTATTAAAATGAAAAACCTTTTCGACATTAGTTAAATTTTACGTCAGTCATGACTTTCATGGTAACTTAATTTTCAGACTTCGATTTTTGCCCATAAAATGCATAACTACTGAAATTGTAATTGTCAGTACATAAATAGTTTACACATATTATTTGTATGTGAAATTCAAATAAAAATATTTTTTTTTATGAAATAGTATAAACCATTTAAAATGAATTATGGTACAAGCAAGATGCTGATTTATGACTCGATCATTTTGGGGATCAAAAATTAGAGTATAGAACAATAGTAAAAAAATAGTTGTGATTCGTTGAATCTGTAGGTGAATACCTATGTGGGGGGAAAGGGAGTACACCAATCGAAAGTTTGAAATCAAACGCGTATTGGATCACATGGAAGTAATATATTAACCACCGGTGAATATGGGTAAGGAGAAATGATTCAACTTAGATCTTCTCCACCCCCCCCCCCCCCCGTCCTCCTACAACCAAGGTCACTCGGAGAAAATAGTTTTTTTTTTCAAAAACGTTTCTAATGTAAGTAAAAACCACCAGAGGCCTAAATTAGACATAACGCGTCACCGGCCTGCATCTGGATTGTTGCGAACAGCACATATGCGGTGGGTGGTGGTGCAGGATGGCGTAGGGCCGGGAGCTGTGTGACCCAGATAAACTGTATTTCCAGATGATACGCGAGGAGCAGACGGAAACGCTACACGTCCCGGGTACATGAAACCAGTTAAGCCTGTTTTTGAAATTAAAAATCAGCGGGCAAAATCCAAATGGCATTCGTAGGGTACGACGACCAAACAGTCATTCTGTACGTGAACGCGATCGCGTACGGTGTTGTTACTTTGCTCTAGTCAATAAAATATACATCGTAAGGACACATATTATAATACATACCTAGCTAATCGGTAAACGATATAAACATTATAAATAAAATAAAGGTGCGTTAGTGATAATATAAATAGCAACGATGATTATGCGTATAGTGATAACGATCACAATGGTGTGTCTCGCGATTTCGAGTTTAGCTACAGCGACCGCGGAAGCGGAAGCTAGCTTACAACAGTCAGAGGAGGTATTGGTAACGAACGTACAGCAGCAAAACGTCGTCCCGGACGACGAAGGAATTAAAGTCAACGTGACTGCCGTAGCCGCCAGGTTCATCAAAGATTACGTAACACCCACATTATGCTCGTACTCGCCAGGATTTTGTGCAAAGCACCAACTACGTAAGTCTGAACTATATGAAATCGTAATATTTTGCCTTAACAAAAACTAAGATTTTCAAGATTGTACAAAATCAAATAAATCTTAACAATATTTTTTTTTTTTTACTGAAGAATTTTATCAAAATTTGAAATTTAAACGCTAATAAAAAAAATATGATTAGGTAGGTACTAATTTTTCAATCGCGGTAAGAACAACATATGATGGACCTTGTATTACGTCTTCCAGCTTTTTACTTGAAAATTCCAAGAGAGCACAAAGGAGGCAAATTTTAAATTTATATACATAAATTATATTTTGAAAATTATACCGGGTCCAGAAGATACTAATATACATTTTAGCTGAAAATTTCAAGTCTACAAATGTTCATTTTTAAATTACAATAACAATCAATTTTGTCAAAAACTTAATATTTTTAGTCCTAGTTATAATGATAACATTTAAAATCATTTTTTAATTTAACATAAAGATATACTATGCAAAAGACACAATTGATAAGAAACAAAAAAATCTGTTCAATCTGTATTATGTCCCCATTAATTTTAAATAAGCAAATATAAATGTATATAATAACCCAGAAAAAATGTTATCAATATCAATTAAAAAATAATGTAACATCAATCAAAAAATGCATTTATAGATTATGTATATCATAATTATTTTTGATTCATAAAAAATCATAAAACTGTATCCAAATTAATACTCTTCCTGGGCCGATGTCTTTTAATGGTTGATATATGGATATTTAAATTATTAATGCTTGATACAAAAGGTACAAACCTGTCCTCTGCAATAGATATGGTAATTTATAATTTTGATAGATAATACTTGTTTTCTTAGTTTACAGAATAGCAATATCTTAATAACAGGTCTTATATAGGTCTCGAAAAATATAAAGTTTTTATTTACTTAAAAACGTCTTATGCTCACAAAAAAACATAAATTTCAATTTAAAACAAATAATATATTCAGTAAAAAAAATTAATATATCTACTTGTTTCAGTATTTTATTATTATTTTATAGGTATGGGAGAAATTAATTACATACATTTTATAAAAACTCTCGTACTATATATTATAAGTAAAAATTAAATCATATCATACATGATAAAAAGCAATTTCACAATTATTTTAGTTGAAATTGCAATTAATCATCATTAATTTGAAATTTAAACATGACAAGTTGATTATTGATACATGTAGATAATATAACCACAATCGTATTGTAAACCTAACATTTTAAAAATATTCTGTTAAATTAATTATGGGAACGAGTAATGGCATATAACAACTATAATTTGTTAAATTTATACCGAGATCAATAATATTATGTATTATATTATTTTTTAACTATTTGAATAGGCTTTCGTGGAAAAAAACTGCACTATTAGATGACCATTATACTTACCAGTAGCCCCAACACCCTTAATCAATTAAAAATGATATTTTCTAAAATAAAGTGATGGTATATTATTATGTAATACAAAATCTAGGCATTTTGCAGCATCGCTACAAATAAAAAATATATTATTAAATATAATTTTTCAACCGCTACGAATTTTAGAAAATATTACTAAAAAATTGATATCGTTGGTATGCTTAGTCTAGCTATTTGTGATAAAGAGGTAATCAGTATCTTAATAAAACGATATAGTATTAGTAAATTTCAAAAATATAAAAGTAGGTACCTGTTTTAAAAATAATAAATATAAATTGTACACAATATTTTACTATGTATATTTATAAAGGAAGTTTAAAGTAATTACATTTATAGAATTATGTATAACAATATGTATATTGTATGTATTGTTAACACGGATATGGCATAAATGTTTTTGAACATTTGTGTATACAATAGGAAATGTATAAGTATTATTCCACTTCTCAGCTTTAATTACCGTAATTATTACATTCATTTATACGTTTTAACAAAGATATACTTTGATGACTGAATCGCTTAGTTACTAAGAGTGTGTAATTAAAATGGAAATAATTATTCATGACGGACATAACGTTTGATTGGATTCTTTAATTACTTATAACAAAATACACCTTGGCTAGAATAAGGTTTTAAAAATACAAATTTTCACAAAATGTATTTATTATGTCATTTACGAATATTAATAATTGTCCTAAAAAGGTAGTTATCGTGTATCATATTTTTAAATTTGATAACATATATGGTAACAATTTACATATTTATGTTATTGAACAATTATCTCCATCTATAAATATAGACTTTAATAAAATTAGAATATTTTTTTAATTTTAGAAAACAGCACAATACTATTTCTTTTAATTGGCTTTAATTAATACGCGTGTTAAAAGTCGGCATACACTCACACACGTCTTACAGACGTACGACACACCTTAATTAAGCGTAGTAAAACCAATTCTGTGTTGTTTGCTTGAATATTAAAGCAAATTACCTCTCTCAAAGGAAGAATCCGCACAGGAGACTATCCAACAAAATCCCAATTCAAACGCTTTTCATAATTCAATTAAGTATTTAAAAAAACCTTATAGTTTAAGCAAGTATTAGAATAAGTTTACAATATAATTAAGCAATAATTTAAACCACTGTCAGACCAATGGCCACAGATACCGCGGAGGCTTTATTTCTTTAATCACAAAGAATGAAATAAATAAAGTGAATTTACCTATCTCATCAACTAGATAGTAAAAATATTATCAGACACCTTATAGGCTTTTAAAAGTAATGCATAATAGTACACGATATTAGCGCATTCAAATCCTTAGCTTAAAGTAACATAAAAGTACCTACATAAAATAAAACTTTATATTTTTACTTAATATCGAAAAAACCAATCACCTCACGCCATCAATCACTATCCCCAAGCTAGGCAGCGAAGACGGCATTAACTGAGTATAATATATTGTTTTCGATTGCAGAGAGCAGAGATATCAAAAGCTATTTAGCCACGGCCGGAACATTGTTCGCCGGAGCGTTGGGCGTTATGATGACAAAAATCTCGTTACTGATTGTGTTATCGGTGCTCTCCACAGTCATCGGAAAAATGTTGCTACTCTACGCATTATTCAAGACACCCCCACACCACAACCATCATAGCTACAAGTCAGCCCACCACCACGCACAGCCGTTCGTCAAGTACACCAAGGACAAGTATTACATCAAGAACTCTCCGTCAGTTCACAGTCACGACGTAGTCGTCGACTCACCTCCTGAGCACCATGAACATTCACCCTACGTTCTGGAATCTGCTGTCCATGATCATAAGTTGAAAGGGGTGTCATACTACAAACGATAACGCACCAACACTACGATCCGACACCGGTCAGTTTTATAGCCATCCAATCGACTTCATAGACAATTACAACATTTATTTAATATAATTTCTACATGTTTTTACTATATTTATTTTTTGTCACAACGCGGCGGCTCCGATCTTGGGCGGTCGAAGATGCTTGGGGGCGGATTCACAAATGTTAGCTCCCCCCCCCCTCCCACTTAATAGTTAATACCCTTAATAATCAGCTTGCTTATCATCGATGATTGGATATAAAACTTGTAAGGCGTACCTATGCATCGACAAAACGCCCGCGTTCTTTACACATACTTCTTAATATTTTTTTGATTTGTTTTAACTCAAAATGCTGTAAATATTACTGTATTTAAATCATCGTCAAAACAATGTAATTATTCTTTGTTTTAGCGTCATAGCGATAATTTATTACTTAATATTATTATTTATTTATTTATTTATTTATTTATTTATTTATTTATTGAGGCAGATCTTGATGGCAGCAAAAACTCTTAAAGAGTAATAATGCTAGTAAAAGAAGAAGAATATTTATTGTTAAAAATGTATTTATTTAATTGTATGATTTCCATTGAGTTGTGAAAATTACTTTTATCAGAATAATATTGTATTCATAATGTTTTGACAAAACTAGTCTTTGTATAATATACAATCATATTACCTTATTCATTATTTTATACATAATTATTTTAAATTATTAACCATAAATATGCCTAATATTGTATTGTACAGTTATATTGGTAAAAAAATTTAATGATTTTTATCAATTCATACAGTTTAACTCAAGTCCTTGTTATATGTTTTATTTATTACTATCTTTCTAGTTAAATACATATATTATATGAATTACGATTTTAATTTAAGTATGTTTATACCTAACACACATTTAAAAAAAAGCGAACTAGATAATAAGTGACCAATTGTAATACAACTTTTAGGGTGACTTGTCATTTGATCTGGTAAATAATAACATAATATCCACGAAATTTGATAAGGTCTCAAAATATCCAGGCCAAAAATGCCCGATTAAATAAAATGAAAAGCTACAGATATTTTACAAGAATTTCTATCGACATCGTTAACTTAGATAATTGTATGTGATGCAAACGTAATTGACAAATCTAATCAGGATTTATTAAATATCAATTATTGTTGTGACAAAGATAACTCATCGTCATATCAACAACTGGCTGTTATTTTGGGACATGATTTGTATGGTAACTTCATTTGTTGAAATTAGCCACCGGAGAAAATATTGGGCGTCGCCCGATCGCGGCCCAAACTAACCTTTTTACCTTTTCACCCATCCCAATTGCGGCCCATACACATTTAGTAGGAAACTACCTATACAGTGGTTATCAAAACTAAATAAATATCCCGATTACGTCCGATACGTATTTTGACATAAATATATAACTATCGTATTCACGATTCTCACGATCGCCAATATTCGGCGTGGTAATTTCCAGTCCATTAAAAATAAAAAAATCAGATTAAGTGTAAGATTGCGAGTGGTGGAACATATTATAAATTTATTCATAATATGAATTTCGATTTCATAAGTTACTAGCTAATTAAATAGAAAAATGGTGTTGTACAAATAAAAATTGTAAAAGTTTTGTTAAAAGTTTTGTTAAAAGAATCAATAAAGAAATTGTAGTAACCCAAATTCATATATTTATGATAATAATCATAAACAAGACATTGTATTTGAGTTGCATATACAAATATATCTAACACAAAGTGCTTAATTTTATTAATTATAAGCTATTTTGTGAACCAATGTGTGTTTGGACGGACCGCAATCGGGATACTTATATTTAGGATAAAATAAGACTACCTGTTTTTGGGCCATAATCGGGCAACTCCGAAGATATTAAGTCCAACAAATGGAGAATAACATGTTTAACAGAAAAAAACCGTCCCAACAGTCACACTGCTGGCGTGATTGCCTGAAATCTGTCCAACAATTTATTCACTACCTAACAAATTTGTTGGATAGGTCAGATCGATATCTACTAATGCTGCACAGTCGAGTTGCCAGGGATCCATTATAATGACATATTATGCAATGACGAGGTACACTCGATCCTAATGTACAGCAGAGCGGTTACGTACTTTTCCTTTTTTATACATAAAAGAATATGTAAATAAATATTTGTTGAAAATAAGTAATGATTAAAAATAAAAAAGTATTACTTATAAAATTTTAAATTATAATTGATTATTTTATTTCAATATTTTTAGTGCAGAATATTTTGTCATCGGATAAAAAGACGTTTTTCGGTATTTCTAAACCTATTGAAAAACACTTTTAGCAACACTTTGTTACACATATATGACATGCCTACATAGAAAATCATACATAGGTTTTCAAATTCAAATAGTCTTAATTCATAATACATTGATAGAACATCACAGTACAAACAGTTTGGGACACTTCAAATTTACTTTCTTATTGTAAATATTATCTAATCTAAGATAAAGATTATTAATATTATAAAAGTATAACAGGCAATATTTTGTACACTTTAGATAAGTTTGAATATTAAAACCACATAGTCATTTCCACCGTATTCTCGTATGAATAACAATTAATATGATATACATATTTCTAATGTTAAAAGAAATAACTCGACAATTATTGATCATTATTATTCAATACTTTCTACAAGTTTTCGATCACATAAATTAAAACACCCATAAAAGTTTGACACACAGGGCAGGGTTAAGCTTCGTGGAGACCCCTGATGTATGCAAGACCCCTCATTCTTTAATAGAGGGCCTATCATTATTAGGTTCTAATATTTGTTCACTAATAAAAAAATTGCTTACCAATTACTATACAGCAAAGGAAAAAATACTATTGGAGTGAAGAACACAGTATTTTAATATTTTGAAGACGCTCGAAGCCCTGCCACCCCTCTAAATCAGATCCTACACATATGCATGAATCGTAAAAAAATCAACTACCGAAACAAATAATTTACTTGAACTAAATATTGTGCTAACTGTTGAATGCGATGAAATGTAAAGCAATTTTTACTATACTTAGTATTCATATTTTCTACCATTTTAAAATGTTTATATTATGTGATCTCTACAATACTATGTCCTGAACTTTTAAATGTTATTAAAATAACTTATATTGTTAAATCTTAAACAATATTTAGTTTAATGTTTCAATTCTAAATACTAATAATTTTAAAAGGCAATATACGAGTAAAATCAATAAAAACTAAAAAAAAGTTTTCATCATAAAATATTAGGTTCAATTAAGTAGTCAATTATTTACCGAACACCATGTCAACTTATTTCAAAAGTTATATGTATTACTTTTACTATCTTCAAAAATGATAACTAAACAAATACACTTTACAAGTAAGACAGACGCTATAATTGGTAGTGATTTAGCTAGTTCCAACAATTTCTGGTTTGAGTTAATTTAAATAGGTAACGTTAAAATGAACTCAAACTTAAAATTAAAGATCTACTTATCTGTATAATGGTAATAGATACATACTATATGATAACAAAATAATTAATTAATCCATTAAAACCACTTACCTTCATTTGACACATCAATTCGTCTAAACTGTTTATCTACTTCCAACAAATATTTAAATTCATCATTGATAGGCTCTTCAACACACTCTTCGTCCTTGATATTAACACCCTCTAATGGACCAAACTGCGTACGTTTTTGAATTGTTTTTCTTGCAAATACTCCAAACTCTTCAACGAACAATAATTATAATTAAATAATTAAGTCAACACATCACACTGTTCTTTAATAGCACTCACTATTGTTTAAATTGTCTTGATTTTTAATTTTCATAATTCTTAAATGTGTAGCAGGTAATGACGCTCTAGCTCTAGTTTGCACAGCTAGATCGATGATACTACTTACTTGATGTATTGGACAATTTGATTCATTTTGATATAGCTTATTACAATCTTCGCACCCTAGAAAAATCATAAAAATGCATAACATAAACACAATTATAATCCCAAAATAATATAACTTATTGGACATTTAGAATTTGTTAATAACAGTAAATTCAGCTATATTTTTCCCAACATTTTATTTTATTTTATTTATTTATTAAATACAAACTCGACCCAAAGTACAGTAGATATTTACAAATGGTATGAGTTTAGTAGAAGGGAGACAGAGCTAGGTAACCAGATTACAATAAAGATAAAGGGTGGGTCTTGACCAGACGCCTTAGTCGGTCAATTGGATTATTCTAACTGTAATTAGTAGAGCGTTTAAGAATAGAAAATGGAACAATAAAGTGCGTTGGCCGTTGAGGGACACAAAAGTTCATGAGGTAAAGGAGCAATATGGACCATCAACAGAACCACCAATACAATTTTGAAGGAACCTTATGTTACCGTACTGAAGCGGAGCCAAGCTAAAGAGCAATCAAGGGCCTTTATTAGTGAGGTGAGCTTGGGTTTCTCACCTTGGAGTAGAAGACTGTTGGGTGGTATTAACTGGATAATAATACCATAATGAATAATATGCAAAATTACTCTGTCTCAAAAGTGAATTATCAGTCCGCCCATCGATTTACGTCAATGCTGAGCATCCTCCACCAACTTCTCAGTGCGTGATCACATAATTTTCGACTAGCCAATTGTATCATTAACAATGCGCAAAGACTGATTGTTCCCTTTTGAGACAGAATATGGTCCCAATATTTTATAAATATTATTTATAAAATATTTTTTAAACAATAGTCTAGTCCAATGGTCGGCAACCGGCGGCCCGCGAGTCCATTGTATACAGCCCGCTTTAAATTTTATAACGACAAAATTTAATTGAATATCATATCAAATTAATCATAGTATAGTAAATTGTATAAATATAGATGAACGTTGTGTTTTTATAATTTGTAATACAACATTTTTATTTTTGTTAAGCCCGGGAGTCCAAAAAGGTTGCCGGCCACTGGTCTAGCCTATACTCTATTATAATACACTCTTATAAAGATCTCTCTATAAGCATAGCATTGTGTCATTCATTAATTAAATTATAAAATTGATTCTATAAAAACAAAATGTTGTAAATTATGTATCAAGAACTATTACGATCAATGTGTCATTTATATTCATATTACATCCTAAATATAATTATTTGAATATTTTCTATCGGTGGTAAACAGAAACCAGTTTGTAGATTAAAAAAAAACTAAAACAAATTTCACAATACTACAACCTTGATTTTCTTTACATTTAACTTATAATGTAATGTTCAATATTAATATAATATTAAAACCCTACAAATATAACTTCAGCTTAACCGATTGAAAATCAATAATACACAGAACTCTAACTTATTCAATTGCAACCTTATATACAACTTAGACATCCCAATTCTGAAAGAGTATCTTATGTGCTGAGATTGGGTAACACTTAATATCCTAAGCTGTTCTGGAGAAAAATTCTATATAATATGGAAAATGAGAGACCGCTCACTGTCCAGCCTACAACTATAACTACATCACAATCCAAATCAAACATATTAAATAACTGTCCGCCCGTGCCTTTAGAGAATACAAAAGAACACCATTAAATCTTGAAATTCTATCCAATGACACTTGACATACAGTAGTAGAAAAATCTTAACTAACAATTATCATTACTGTGTATAAGTTGCCTTTTAATATTTAATATTCTTTTTGAAATTATTTATTTGTAGTTTGTTCATAGTTTTTTTTCCGATCACCTGTAACACTTGCTTCTATAGCTATAATAATACAATCATGTTATTTTTCTAATGCTTACAGTATTCTATTAGAGCTGGTGGTTTAGGATTAATTCTGCTGATAAAATTAATACTTATATCTTCATCAATACATTGTGGTTGTCTAACAAATTCTTCTGCTATCTTCTCAATTGTTTCTTTTGACATTCTTTGAAAACCTTGATAAAGAAAATCAATAGATAATTTTTGATTTTCAGCAGAGCAATGAAAATATTTTAATTAAATACTTGTTTACTTATTAAATGAATATATAAAGTTGTTTAAATTGTATAAGTAAATAAATTTGAGTATTTGATTCATAGATACCTGAACTATGTTGATGATGATCAACATCAAGTGAAACACTTTCAGATCCTTCATCAAGTCTTCCTTTTAACTGACTACTGTTAAGTGGAATTTGTGATTCATCAACAACTGCTATATCACAAGTGTCTATATCGTCCACTAATTCTTCGTGATTGACTAGTAACTCCACATTATGATGTGATTTTGGAGAAGATAATAAACTTAAATCATCTATTGACACTATTTTCTGGGCAATATGATTATTTTGAACAGATCTAGACTGTGGTACTGTATAAAATTCATTTTCATCACTATTCAACACATCATTTTCTTTCAAAGTAACTTCAATATAGCTACCGCCATTTTCTGAAAAGATAAAACGATTGTTCCCAGTCTCTAAAATCATATCTTGATTACTTCCCAGATTATTGACAAAATTATCAGTTGGTTTGGGAATAAATGATAATTGATCAATTTGTACTAAAGAATTGTCATGTGATAGATTGTCCATAACTGAATGTCTATTAGACACTTGAGGTATATTATTTGATTTAATGTGATATAAATCGTTTTGAAAATACTGATCTGGCATTGATACCATAGTCTCCACTTCTGACATGCTGTTATATTCTGGTAACATTACAGTTTGTGAGTGTTTGGTCATTCCAAAATCTGTAGCTTGGTTATCTAAAAAATCAAAAATTAAATTTTACAATCAATTAAAAATTGAATACATATACATTAAATTACCAAGAACTGTCATGGAATGCATATCATTGTTGGTTAGTACATCAAATGGACGGCCGTTGGTATCTGTTAATACAATACTATCATCTGTGAAGGTATCTTTAATGAAGTCAATATTTTTAAACTTCATACCACCAATCTAAAACAAAATATTATAATATATAATAGGTTAACATAAAAACAATTTAATAATAATAATAGTTTTTAATTTTTTTTTTTAGGTAAAAAAGGTATGTTACCACAAAATGACCCGTGTTGTGTTTCATTCCTGAAGGCCCTGGTCTATTGATATCATCATCTTGATCAAAATCATTTGGACACCAATCAGTACTTGAACCTTGTTTTGAGTCCATCGTTGAACAGTACTAAAAAGCAATGCGCATTTTATTTATTTTAATTTATACTTACAATCATTTAAAATTATATTATTTTTTTGAATTATCAAATTCAAAATGAAATTCTTAAGATTTTATAAGATTTGTAAGCAACGATTATGGTGCCAAACACAAATTTATTTTGCAGTGAATAAACTAGAAGCCATATTGGAACATGTCATATATAGTATGACATGTTCCAATATGGAATATAAATATTGTATACTATATAGTATACAAATATTACATATTATTATTACCTTAGTGATTTTAAGATATCTTAATCCCACTATTTTTAAGAAAAAATTATTAATATTTGAGTGTCTATAAAAATATTATTACCAAATACCCAAGAATTAATAATATTATACATTGTTCAAAATTAGTATCAAATTAAGTGTGTGATAAAATAATCAACAAATTATTGTAAACAACTCTTTATGTTTAACAAAAAATATGATTGTACAATTAGACTAATTTAATTTTCAAAAAAAAAAAAACTGAAAGTATAATTTAGTAAAATTATAAGACCAATTTTAAAACATTTAGGAGTATCTAGATAAATAAAATTCATAAATTTGATAAGAATAAAAAAATTAATTTTGTATCTAATACATTGATGAGTTAATGACAATATTGAAGGTAGATGAAAACATATTATTGTGTTAGCTATTGTGTTTCATAAAACTATCCAACAATATTAATTTAGGATAAGATACAAAACAAATTCGGTTTAATTAAAGAGTAAAAAATTATTATATAAGAGTTATCTGTGCATGTAAATATTAAAATATTTGCAAGTCTTAACTTTCTAAGGTTTGGATTAATAATTTAAAATTAACTATTACATTAATAAATGGTTTATAACTGAAGTTAAATATTATTGTAAATAGTTACTTACTTAATTGTAGTACATCTGTAAGGTTATACCAAAGTTTATCCAATTTAGAACAAATGATAATACATTACTGTCAACATTTTTATACTTCACAGCCTTTACACATTTTTAAAGAGTTAAGCCTACAATAGTTAGACATTTTAGTGATCTAGTAAAAAATCAAACGCAAGAGGTTGGCGATTTACAATCATTTTAACGACCGAATTTCAGTGCCCACTATCGTTTTGGGTCTTGTTGATGAAAAAAATATTGTGATAAAGCTATTCAGCTGATAACGTTTCATCTGCCAGCTGTGCAATCGACAATCGCCACATCACTCAGAGTATTATTTTCCCACTATTCGATTTTCGAAATATTCAACGTTTGTATCTCATTCTTATTTTTTTCACTCATTTTGAAATGCATGTTAACTCTGCAAGGAATCCAGAAAAATAGTTCAATGAAAAAAAGAACGAACAAAAATATTTTAAAATATGTTTAAACGTGTTCTGTAGTTATGAAAGGGGCAGTTTTCAAAGTACCGGTGCTTAGGTTTCCTTTTTAATTTTTTTAATTTGTGTTGTCTAATTTAAGTAAAGTCATTTTTATTCTTGTACTTTGTAGCATAGGTATAAGCATACTATAAGCATAGAATTAATGCATGAATTTATTTATTAATAAGTAATGCTGTATAATATATTTATTGAGGTATTTATGTTAAAGTGTTATTAAACAATTTATAAGATATTACGGAGAAAACGAATGAAAATGAACACGAACAACACTGTTCTATTCCATCTATGTTTATAAATAATAATAATAATAATAATATAATAATAATACGAAAGTATTGTAAATTGTATTAATATGTCTCCTAACCGAGGCTATAATAACTTAAATCAAGAAGGTAACTTACAAGCTTTCCTCATTTAATCATACTAACTTCAGTATTCCAATGGAATCCAGTTTGGGTGTACTTAACTTCAAGTGTAAAGTGATTTTTTCTGCATTTCAACCCTAGTGGCTGGTAAGATTTGTATGCATCGCGGATAGTCAATAAGAGCACACCAATGTCGTCGATTCGTTTTTCTCCGGCTGGGGGGCAGTACCTACATATTATATCAATGTATCATAGGTAATATCCAACGACTGCAAGAGGGTTAGAACCATATTATATATAACTATAAAATAAATATAAATACATAATTTTTTAGGTCAGCTATGGACAAAACATAAAGCTATAATGATAACCGTGTCGTAAGCGATGCACTATAATAGTCGAGATCTACATTCTACATACATACGTATACTAGATCATAATCGATGATGTACTTACCAAAAAAATGGGTACAAATAAAATTATAACAAGCATGTTACATAACATACTAATAAAAGGAAATCAAAAAGGGTGGTCAAGTGGGTATTGCAATGACGTAGGTACAATTGTAGTTGTCGAGTTTGTAATTGAAATGGATGTGTTAGATTTGAATTCAATAATAAATCAAATTGAATAATTAAAAACCGATGAATATCAATACAACAAAAAATGTAAAATCAAAAATTATTAATATCTTCTGTTCGGTGAACTTTTTCTTTTAATAAAGGTGATCTGCGTATTTCAATGTTTACTGTTGACTACAAAAAAATTTTTTTTAAGGAATTGGAAAACAATTCACAAATTTTCGGTGTTTGATTAATTTTTTCAAAATTTGAATTTTAAATGCATATAAAAAATAATCGTATCTATATATCATTGATAAATTAATATTTTTGAACTGCCATTAAAGCAACTTATGAGAACCCTTGCGTTAAATTGACAAGATTTTCTTTATAGACTTTGGCCTTGCACTAGTATAAGGTCTACGACCATACGTAATCTAAAAATTGAATAGGTACATCCATTATTATTTATTGACATCATCATAAAATCGTAAACGACAGCGTTATCTAGCGTCAAAAATGTATGCTAATACGTTCGAAATTATAACGGCAGAAAGCACAGTGGCTATCGTCTTGGTACGTCCTATACTCCTATAGCATTATAGTATTTATAATCAATGGTACTAGTTATGTGGACCACTGTCCATGATAATATCTATTAATATTTAAAATTGTATTTGTATTGGAACTGTCAACTGAGTACCCTCCCAACTAAAATAATTAAGTATCAACGACTGAGATCTGTCCGCGATTTCAAATCGGTCTCAGACCCTAGCAGTGCCTTAGGTAGTAGTTTTAAAAAGAAATTTTTACTGAAATTAAGCTGCCATTGAATTTTCTTTACTTACTTGTGAATAAAAATAAAAACTACCAGTTAACCAATAATCTGTCAAGACATGAAATTTAATACCGCAACTACGGTTGAGTTATTGGGAGGTATTTCGTATATACCATTTTACCATTTCATGCCGTCTAGTGACACCGGATCAATGTCCCACACTATAGTAAGGCGTACACTCATAATTTTCGCTCCATTTGTCCTTAAAGTCCAGGGCTTGCTACCGAAAACATTTTTACCGATTTTGATTTCAGTTTTGGTTACCGGTATTAATTTTTTCTGATTTCGATTTCGGTTTCAGTTATCGGTATTTTTTTTCCGATTTTGATTTCGATTTCGATTTTTAACGGGTTTAACAGGTGTTCAGATGGTATCAAAAACTGGTAACTGATATCGGTTTCAAGCCCTACATTAAACCTCGTTGACTATAGTATATAATTAATAATTCCATTAAAACAGATGATTTTGAAGTTAATATTTTAAGTGTCGAATAAAAAAAAAATCGTGATTTTATTAATAACAAACGAGTAGATGTACTCTTAGTGGGATTTTCTTCTACAACAGGGGAAACGATGTAACGCAACTAGTGACTAATAAGAGTATAACGCTTATATTTTAAAATGTCTTCTATTGCAAATAGCCAATACGTACAAACGACAAGCGCTATCGAAAAAAAACAACCGATAACTCACGTAAAACTGACCTTCGCTGATATAATATATACCTAGCTATGGGCTATGGCCTGTAGTTAGATAATTATCTAGTTGAGATAATCGAAAAAATAATAATGCACCATCAATTAAAATAATTATAAGCCAACAAGCACTACCTATCTGTATACCTACAAATGCCAAAATAAGATAATGATTAATGACATGCACACCAATGACGTACTACGTACACACAAATGACATCGAAAATAATTGGATTGAAGCCAAATTTACAAAAACGTTTCACTTCTCCGAGAAAGGCACAAAAATCAAAAATACTAAATCATGAAAATAACACTCAAACATTCTCCACTCAAAACTGATACAAAACACGCAATATTATCAAAAACAAATAAGTAAGTGGACGTCTCTCTGCTGTACAGAAGGTTACAAGTGGGTCACTGTACCTATAATATAATAGATGGTGTTAAATTTGAATTCAATGATATAATATCAATATATCATTATATACAGTATACGAAAAACGATTCTGAGTGGAGACGGATTGTCGGAATAGGATATTTTATATTATATTAATTTATATTGTTATTATTACTACTGTAGTCGCCAGCTGCAGGTAGGTTAAATTAATATTATTAATTATGTATTAATATTTCATACTTATATATATTAATAAACTTTAGAAGTTTTAAGTACCATAGAATAACATTTGTAAATTACAACAAAATAACTTAAATCGTTATCCTTGGTTATTTAATATGTAATTTCATCCAAATTTGAACATAAAATAACTATTATGAAAACTGCGTCTATATATTTCTTAGATTTGTTGGTTATAGAATAACCTACTTACGTGAAACCTTGTTTTAAATTTTCAATCCTTAGCTATAAAAGTTAATCTAATAAATTTGTATCTACAAAATAATTTGTAAATTTTCAATTTGATACATTTTGTCAAAATTTGAACTTAAAAATTTAAATGCCAATAGAAAAAAAATCATACCAAATTATTTTTAATATTTTTCAGCTGCTGTTGTAATAATATATCAGAAACCTTATATTTAAATCGTCAAGCTTTTTGACCCAACAAATAACATTTTATTCAAATTTACAGAAAAAAAACTAAAAATGTTGAAAATGTTAGTAAACAGCTCAAAACAAGAAAAAATATTTTGAAAACCTTATGGTGTATAGAAAATGCCAATATAAACATTCAGTAACAATTTAGAGTTACACCAAAAATCAATCAAAAACATCGAAAACCGGTTTTGCGTTAAAATTCCAATTTTTCCTTCGTTTTTTTTTTCGCTTTTGAAAACTACTGGAAATTTTAAACTTTGACCTCCTAAAGTACCAACTAGTTTCACTTTCCCATCGAACAAGATAATAAAATATAAAACAACAAAAATAATTAAGATACGTTCAATCTCCCCTGGCGTACGCTACTGCCGAACTACAGTCTTTAAAACCGTATACGATAACCAAGAAAACAAAAGCCTCATCAACATAAAAAACCATAAATACTGACAAAAAATTCAAATATTGTAACAGATGACATACTACAGGAGTACTTATGGAATAAGTCCTAATACAACCCAAAAACCATACTCATCCATTATCCAAAACCCACAATCTACAACTTCTGAAATTTATAAAAGCACAAACGATTAGCTTCATTCCTAACTGCTTTTAAAAATCTGATAGTTCCTCTCAAGTCATAGATATCACTTCTGAGTTTTGACTGACTAACTAATGTTCTACTGAAAAATGACAACTATAAATAATATATATTGTTTAAATATTGTTGTAAAAAATACTAACTATTTTCAGCGAATAAAAACAAATGTAATTACGTAGCCGTTTAGACGTAAAGACGTAGATATATAATATTGCTCGTCAAAAAAAAAAAAAAACAAATCAATAGATAAAAACATTAGTAGTAAAAATTTAAAATTTAAATATAATGTATTATATTATGAATATTATAAAAAAGAGTTATTTATAATAATTTTAATACGTCAACAACTAACATAAAATATCTAAAAAAGTTTTTGTTATAATACACTATCAAAAACATTTATTTATATTTATTGCAATACTAAAATGAATAAAAAATATCAAACAATTTATTTATGTTATTATATTAAAATATTATTAAACAATTATAATTAGAATATAATTAAATTAAGTATTTTGGGCGATTCCCCTTAAAAATTATATTTTAATTCTACCTTGAACAGTTCTTCAAATTCGTTCATCCACATTAATAAATTTCTTTAATTTTTTAGAGTAACTGGAACCTGCTTCTGCAATAATAAATGATAGGTAAGGTACGGTACGATACCATTAGTTATATTATGAACACAGGAAATATCATTGGTTTTATAATTTATATATAAACCAGTAATAAAACATAATTTAATTATATTTATATTTACAATATTACATTTTTAATTGTTAGCGTTTTTTTAAATTTTTCTTCAAATATTTGAACACTAATCTAGGTATTGAGCTCATTAAAATAAATAACTTTTTTTGATGTTGTTTTATTTTTTTTTCTACCTACCGCTATTATTATTGATTGATTTATAATTTTTTTTTCACCTCCAATTTTGCCCCTGCCGAATCAGCTATTTGCCACTTGCATTTTCATGAGTGCTTCTATAATTACTATAATAGGAAGTTTCCCTCACCTTTATCCACGTATACTGTATAGGTACATATAATTTGAATTTTTTCTATTTCTGTAATAAAATTAATTTTCTTCTTCAAAATTCTCTATTATTTCTTATATGTATAAAATATACAAATAGATAGGTACCCTTTTACTATTTACATAAATTACCTATATTGTGTCCAAGTAACAACTGTTACCTCTCGCACGTTCTACGGCCAAGACCAAATAACGTATCATTCCAAGTACCTAGAAGTAATTATCTTATCACAGATTATAATAACAATATATTAATAAATAATAGCCAATAGGTATACATAATATTATATACCTATGATAACTAATAAACAGTATGTTTGTGAACAGTTCAAGAACTGGGTTCTTGAAGGAAATCTAAGAACTGGATCCTAAGTTAGAACTCATTTTTTAGAATACTTAGAACCGGAATTAGAGCTGGAACCTCATTTTAATAAACAATAAGTTTTACGGTACTTTTAGGTTCTAATTATTTTGATTTTAAGAAAAATCCGATTATTTTAAATAAATTAATATTTTATTTAAATTGGTTTTTGTTATAATCAAATAATTATCGCCGATATTCGATGAGTAAAAACATAAAAAAGAGTGATTAATATATCATTTTTTTCTGGAAACCAATTTACATAATATCTATTACCTAATACATTTATCGATAATTAGTTTCGTTTATATATATAAAGCACATTGAATTTTAATAATGATATATTTATTTTTAATTTCACTGCGATATGTTTTATTTTAATTTTTAAACATCTTAGGTATAATAATATTTTATGATTTAGTAATTAATTAGTAATAATATTTAGATTGGTTGAGTAGAAGTTGTACCTAGTCTTAACTTTTAACTGTTGTAATTAATATATGTTCTATTAAAGCATCAAAAGTATTTTATTAATGATTAATTTTATAGGTGATAATAATCGTATTACTTGGATAGGAATTTACTTTTTTTTAAGCTTATATCCAAATAGGTATCTATATTAATACTCATTTAAAGGAAAATAATGAATTGTCGGTTAATGAATTAATGATTATCCTGTTGAGTTGATAAGTGACTTTCCCTTTACTAATTATTTAAAAATAATATTTTTTACATTAGTTTTCAACAATAAATGTTCACGAAATTACCTAGATCCTACATGTAATATCATTAACGATAAAATATTTATTGGGACATTTTCAAGTATACACGTAATGTAGGAATGGATAATTACATTTTTTTAAATGTATAATACATTAATGATTAATACCACACCCATATTGTAACGATTTAAGTCGCAAATGATATTTGAAAATGCAACATTTTACATTTTTCCTTTGTAATAATATTTATAACACAAATATTGTAAATTTGAATACTCGTATAGTTTTAATGGTTAATTACTTAAAATAAATTTAACTTTAATCCATGATGTGTATACATCTATAACGAAAAATTATACATATCTATTATTATTTTTCTCTCCATCATCATAAGACATATAATATATACCAGGATACAATATTATACCTAATATCATAATAAATATTCACGTAATAATGCACTATGTTTTTAATTGTCTTTTTATCGTATTGCACAGTATCACTTATCACTTGAACTATATTGCATTAACTATTTTGTATTAATACATTAGGTATACCTATACCGGTAAGTGTGATTTTTAACAAATCACAATATTTTACATTAATTTATTCAAATTGATACATACACTCAACTAATATAAATAAGCAAAAAACAGTACCTAATATTACGTATTATCATTTAAAAATATTGTTGTATGATGTACTAAATAGGTAGGTAATACATATTTTACGATATTGAAAATAAACGTTATTTCGAAAACCCATTTCATAAAGATAGCAACAATAATAAGACTAAAAAATAATGACTATTAAACTAATAACCAATAGATAACTACAGTAGGTAGGTACAACCCTTTCAAAAATGTTAGTTTTCCGATACAGATTTTTTCATAAAGTGAATAGTGAATGTGTAATCTGTTATCTGTGTTACAATATAGAAAAAATAGTTTTCTTATAAAATTAGGTAGGTATATTACCTACCTATATGTTAAAGACTGATTAAAATCATATTCAGCTACTTAATTTAATATTTTATTTAAGAAATATTTTAACTTATGGTTTTTGATTTATATTTTATACTATTGGTGCGAAAACAGGTTAGGTTTAACTAGTTGACCTTCACAACAATTGCTTAAGGTTTCAACCAACAATGTTACCTTACTTGAGGTATTTTCTCATAGAGTCTTAATTATAAATACATAATTTATCATCGAGAACTACATAATTAGGTATATTAACACATGTACGATGTAGCTATACAAGGTGATTTACAAAACATCTTCACTTGTTTTGTTATGTTGTACCTACCAATAATGACATTTTTATTCACCCACTATTCACAATATAGTAGGTAGGTAGGTATTTACTTTTAAAGAAATGCGTAGGTATCAAATGTACAGTTACACAATAACTTGATCCCTAAAATGTTAACTTTCTTTTAATTATATTATATATTGTATACGTATGCAAAAACAATTATCTTGGGATCTTACCCAGCATTTGCATACCGTCCTAGTTAGTTAATGATCCAGTTTGTTAATTCCCAAAAACTAAAATGTTAACAAATCAACTATTTTATATTATGAATTACCAATACTAAATAGCCAATAAGGATGTACATTAAGATTAAGTACACATTTAAAGTAGCCATAACTATCATTAAGTAAAATAATTCAACAGTGTATTTTATAGTTTTATAATATATTTCACATAACATACATTTTGAGCAATACATTAAACTATTAACATTAAAATACAGTATAGGAACATAAAAATACAAAAATATCACTACAATTTGTTTCTCAAAATATAAAATACCTAACAAAGTTACTTACAAATGTATGTATAGAAAAATTAATATGTATTGTGTACAATATTTTTAATGTAAGTACCTAGTATTGTATAATTTTTGCTATACATTTAACAGTATACCTGCTTGTAAATAAATACAAATTATAAACACTTAAAATCATACCTACTTATATAAGATCTATTTTACCTATGCATGTAGGTATACCTATTTACTTTTTGTACGAGGTTTAGACGGTTTATATTTTATACGTACTTATATAAAATTATTGACTGGTCATAGGACGAAGTATAATATCTATGAAAATATAGTCAGATTTAAAATAATCTTTTAAATTTTTTTTTTCATCTCCTTGTGGATTGATTAAATATCTACTATTATTATTTATTTGTAACTTATTCTACATACACTTGTATAAATGTATATTAATTGTATTATATTTTATTTGCATTAATCAACAAATGTTTAATGACCTTTTGATTTTCTTCTACAACTGATCTTAAATCTCTTACTTCTTTTAATATTTCTTGTATTTTAAAAATGTCTTTGTCATCACAGCTATCTTGTTTTTTTCGCTTAATTAAAAATCGAGCAGCGTCTATAATATCTCTAGGCAATGTTTGTTGTTGATTCAACGGTTTGACTGTCATATGTGCACGATGTTTGGAAGGATAAACCAGAGCCCTACGTTTGACGTTTTTTGGCCAAAAACTTCTCAACATGAATAGTTCTATATAATATATAAGTTTAATCTGACATCTGACTTTAGACAAACCAGCAGTCTTTTTTAAGCCTTGTATATCATGTACAGCAATTCCGACTAGTAGATTCATAAGTATAATTGACACAAATATTAAAAGGGCTACGTACACAATATAAGCGCTAAATTTAGATATTATCGGTGATTCATCGTGTACTTCTAACATTGAAATATCCAATTCTCCCGCCATCATCACTAGTACTTTTACAAAACCTATAATGGGATTGTTGAACCATTTAGAAGAAGGGAACACGACACAAAGGCTAACAGAAAAACCTATTAATAGACAAATATATGCCAACAGGAGTTTTGCAAATTCCTTTTGAACTTTAGTGTACATGGCGACATAGGTGTCAAACCATGGCAGTTGACCTATTTTTATCATTAAATTGGTCCAAGCACAAAGTACACAAAAGGCGCCAATATGATTTTGCCAGTAAGAGGTGTACCCATTAATATGAAATGATATTAATGGCACGCTGATTAATACTAACCATTCACTCATATTACTTAAACTAAGGACATACTGATGAACATACATATACCCAGCCATTTCTGATATTTTCAAGAATCCTTCTATGATGCTGATCAAATACAATACATAAATAATTACATCCATTACTTGATAGTTTTCTACTAAAAATTCACCGAGGGTGGAGTTATTCCGGAAACACGTTGAATTACTTTGGTTGGGCAAATGGATCGCATTGTAACAATCGTGACTCAGTACAATCGTTACATAGAGCGTATACAGAAAAATGAAAAATCCCAAACTCGCCAGTCGCATTAAATAATACTTTCGTATCTTTCTCCATTTCAGAAATAAAAAAGCTTGACACAGTGGATGCTGCAGTAGTTCATATTGGCCTTCTTCTTGAAAACATTTTAGTAAATCAATTTCACCAAAAGTATTACAGTTCAATAAATACTTGAATCGAAGTTGAATCTCCGGACCACGTTTAAATCCATCAGCCCAGTTGGATGTAACGGCACTGTCCAACTGTTTGGCTACGGCTGGCACGCACGAAGGCACTTTTCTTACAATCATGTTTAGTGCCGATATACCACCGTACGTTTGAATACCTACGTTGCCACCCTTGGCTAACAATGACTCTACACATTCCGGCACCTCGTTGATCGCTGCTATGTGTAGAGGTGTAAAACCAAAGTGATCTTGTACGTTGATTTTTGCCTGGTGACTTAGCAACGTGTCCACTGCATGACAAACATTTAGCGTCTTGACAGATATGGCCGAGTGCAATGGTGTTCGGTCATCTATGTCTCTGGCGTTGACGTCGGCCCCCGCTTTTATTAGAAAATCGATGCATTCCACACTCGGAGCTTTTGCGGCCATGTGCATAGGTACTTGAAATTTCATATTTTTAGCATGTATATTAGCCTGATGTTCGATCAACAATTTTACGCACTCTACGTGTGCGGATTCGCAAGCCAAATGCAACGCCGTACATTCGTGATAGTCTTTTTGGTCGATCAACGTTTTATCAGAACTTAACAGCATGTACATACAGTCTGAAAACCCTTGGTCAGCGCAAATATGTATAGGCGCTAAGCCCATAGAGTCCAGCATATTAACGTCCACGTTGTATTTGAATAACAAAAGTTGAATGCACCCTACAGCTCTGGATTTTACAGCGCTATGGAGAACAGTGGGTTCGAGTTTACAGCCGTGTTCGATAAGTGCATGGACCGCATCAACGGAATCAGTGAAGGTGGCGAAGTGTAGTGCTGTCATGTCGTCAACTCGGCAATTCGGTTCACATCCATTATTTAACAACCATTTCAAACAATTAACACAGCCGTTCAAGGCGCTTATGTGTACAGCGCCATAGCCCCT